TGTCCGGCTTGACGGCTCCGTTTTCACCTCCGCCCCCGACTGCAAGCGGCTACTCTCGTTGATCGCCGTCTGTAGCCGTGCTTCAAGTCGAACGCACCTTATAACTTCTGCCAGATGTAACCACGCCCCTTCTTTCAATGCTGCCTGGCGTAACCAAGTAGATATAACTGCAGACCGGAGATCTCCAAAATGGGGCGTGAACTCCAAAAGTGGGCAGAACCTCCAAAATGGGGCGGGGTCTCCTCGCGCAAAGACTTTCACCATTGGCTCTGGCTCCAGCCAATTGTTATTGACTTACATTTCAAAATAAAACTATATAAATTAAACATTGTTTCTAGTTCATCTAAAATAAAATATGTTATATAAATAAATATTCTCCATGAGAGCAGAGCCCAAAGCTCGTGGCCAGTGGTGTTCGGACTGGAGTTTGAACCTCTGCTTAATGATATAAACGCGAATTACCCACGAGATCGCTCAGCGCAGCGCAGGGGAAAGATTTTACTCTATTGCTTTGTTTTAAGCAACGGGGGCGTCCCGGGGCTCGAAATTCGCAGAGTAGGAGGGGGTAGTGACGCTGCCTGTCTGTCAATGGGAGGAAGCCACGCCCTATTTTAGAGCTCCCACCCCGTTTTGGAGTTCCCGCTCCCCATTTGGAGATCACCAGGCTGCAGTTATACCCTTCTCGAACATTTGGCAAATTAAGCTGCAATTATTATTGCACTGGTTGGCTATTAACTGTGAACAGACAGAGTGTCAACCAATGCATTGGAGAATACGGCGAACATAAATAAAGAAACGAAGTTGCTTGTCAGATTCCCATAACAAGCAACCATATTTTTTAAAATATGCCCAAAAAACCGCAACACGCGACCCGGGATTTTTTTACGAAACTTTACAAAAAAAGAAGCCCAAAGTCGCGTATAATACGCGGACTTGGCAACTATGTTTGTGAGCAGCGCTTATTTGATTACAGCCTTTACAGGGGAAACCGCTATGTCTCCAGCTCCCAAAGCGCCTCCTGCTGGCAGAGAATTAATTTGCAGTCTGTGGGAAACACTGGTGTCTGTCAGCAAACATAAACAAAAAGCATCCTTCTGAACTGTTTTGAGAAGGTGCTTAAGTTTTGAGCCATGTATTATTACTCTAAATTGGGCTACTACTACCATTACTATCTTGTACCCTGCAATAATCATTTGCTCAAACTCACTTTTATGAGATGAAGGGGGAAAAAAAAGAAAATCGGCCAAACATATCGGCCAAAAAAATCGGCATCATATATCAGCTGCCCTGATTTCTAAATATCGGCATCGGCATCGGCCAGTGAAAAACCCATATCGGTCGACCTCTACTGTCAATGTTAGATGTACCGTTATTCAGCAAAGATGCATTCAATTAATTAAAAGTGATAGTAAAGACATTTATAATGTTGCAAAAGATTTCTGTTTCCAATAAACACCATTCTGTTTATCTTAAAAAAAACTTAAAAAAACATTTTCCGCAAAAATATTTAACATTGAGAACAATAGTTTAACATTGATAGTAATAAGAAATGCTACTCTGGTACCAAATCAGCCTATTAGAATGATTTCTGAAGAATCATGTGAGTAATGACTGCTGAAATTCAACTTTGACATTGAAGGAATAAATTACATTTTAAAATATATTCAAATAGAAATACTTAAATTGTAATATTTAACATGATTGCTGTTTTTACTGTATTTTTGTGCAGTGTAGACTGCAAAAACCTATCTTTCAAAAACATAACTCTTACCTACTCCAAACTTTTGAACAGTAGTAAATAAACCTAAAGATAAATGTATTTTCAGATTTATTTGTAATGCATTTTTATGATAAATATCAAATAAATGATTGCATTAAAGGGGTCATATGATGCTTTTTTAAAGATCATTATTTTGTGTATTTGGTGTAACAGAATATAATAAATATTTTGAGTCAACATGTGAACCTAAAAATAGATTTGGTAAAATTGTTTACTTTTTAAAAATTTTTCCGTGGACCCTTAACTCTCCCTTGCGGCCCTCTGAGCCCAGTTTGAAAAACCTTTGTCCTGGAGTCACACAGGAAAATTTCAGTTTGCTGCATGACAAATGGAAGAACAAGAGATCATTTCCTAACCAGCTTTTTTTTCTGTAATTGTCCCACAGTGGTCTCATTGTCCCTGAAGTGAAAGGGAACGAGACTGTCCCTGAAGTGGAGACCAACTCAGGCTACGCACTTCTGCACTTTTTTAGCGACGCTGCCTACAACCTGACAGGATTTGAAATCTTCTACTCGTGAGTTAATGACACTTAGCATCAGCACTATTTTCAATGAAAAAAGCCTGCTGGTTCGGCCAGGTGTTAATACAACATGTAATCACAAAGAGGTCTTAATTTTATCTCCTCTGTGCATGTTTTATTTTATTATTGCATGGCTTAGTCCTGTTCATTATACCCTCCCCCATTTCAGGCTTCTCTGTAGAAAGTTCCCCTTGTTTTCTTTTACAACCTTTTTCTTGATCTCTCCCTCGACAGAATCAACTCATGCCCAAATAACTGCTCTGGCCACGGGAAGTGCACCTCGGGGAACTCGATAGCGAGCCGTGTATATTGTGAATGTGATAAGTACTGGAAGGGTGAGGCCTGTGACATCCCGTACTGCAGGAACAACTGTGGCAGCCCCGATCACGGCTACTGCGACCTCACCGGGGAAAAGCTCTGCGTGTGCAATGACAGCTGGCAAGGTACTATTCACTGCCGCTTTCATTTCCTCACCTTTCCTGTATTTTACAGGATGCTATGAAAATCAGAGACCTTTCGAGTTTCGTGTTTCCAGCAGAGCATTGTGTCTCAGGTAGATTTGTTGTCATGTGGGTTGTGTCCCTCTGGTGTTGATTCTCTAATAGTGCATCTGTCTCCTCTGCATCACTGCAGCATCCTCATCAGACACTGCCACAGTGTCATAAAGCATCAAAGCACAATTAAGCCTGATGGAGGATTGACATCAGGGTGTCTTGAGGTTAATTTAATGAGTCTTTCTGGCCAGCTTCTCACTAACCCTCATGTGAGGAGACACAGGAAGAAAAGTGTGATTGGTCATAGTAATGACTGTAAGAAGCTGTCAGAACCACCCTGTTTAAGTGATCTGTTCATAAATAGTAAAATATAATGAGACGGATGTTACATTAGATCAGGGTTTTAAGGGGTTTACACTGTCGGACAAAAGTTTGGAGTAATTACGAATTTTAAATATTTTTGAAAGAAGTCTCTCATGTTCACCGAGGCTGCATTTACTTGATCAAAAATACAGTACAAACAGTAATATTGTAAACATATTAGTATGATTTCTGTAGAATCATGTGACACTGATAACTGAAAATTCAGTAATGCCATCAGAGGAACATTTGAAAATGTATTCCAGTAGAAAACAGTTAACAGTTTAAACAGTTAAATTGTAATATTATTTCACAATATTATGTCTTTTACTGTGTATTGTGCAAATAATTGCAGTCTTGGTGAACATGTTCTTTCAGAAACATAAAAAAAAATCTTAATTATTCCAGACTTTTGGCCTCCAGTGTACTTTATTTACAGATTTGCATAATTTCCAGCATTGCATAAACTAATAGCAGGTTCATCACAAAAAAGAAAGGATTTGAAATGTTAGAGCTTGTCAGTTTGAAAGTAAAGAATTTAAGACATGAACATTATTGTTGTAGCGTGCAATGTACAATAAAATTACTTTAATCAAATATTCATTTTTATTTCATATGTACTGTACTGTACATTGTGCATTTTATTCATGTTTTTATTGATATTGATATTCATATTATTTTTTTTATGATCATTCAGTTTTATACACCAGTGTAAATTTAATGCAGACTGATAGAGTTTGAGTCCACTTTAAAATCCAGCTACAAAGTCAAAACAAAACATTCAATTTTATCTGCTTGTATGTCATGTGACCATTAATCAATATTAGTGAACCATAATAAACATGAGAATATGTTGTTAAATTATAGAAATATTAACTCAAAAATCTCAGGGGGTATCTCGAGTAAATATTTTATGTCAAACAAAAATGGTTGGGAGCCCCTGCCTTAGATTATTGTACAAGAGATTTACCCCTCTCTCTCTCTCTCTCTCTCTCTCTCTCTCTCTCTCAGGTCCAGACTGCTCACTAACAGTGCCCTCCACAGAGTCTTACTGGGTCATGCCCACAGTGAAGCCTTTTGGAGCATCGCTGGGAAGAGCATCCCATAAGGCGGTGGTACAGGAAAAGGTTATGTGGGTTGTTGGTGGCTACACCTTTAACTACAGCAACTTTCAGATGGTTCTAAAGTAAGTGATAATTCAGAGATCTGTGTACAGCATAACCAAAAAGGCATATTTGCATATGTGCCAATGTGACAGTAATCCAAAATAAAAATGTAGAACAGCAGGAATAATAATAATACTAATAATAAATCAGTGTGAGCTGTGGTAGGAGTAGAGTTAGATTAATTTGACAGTTTGAGGGTAGAAACTGTGAGTCTAAATGTTCTCTGAGGGAACTCTTTGTATAGTGAGCAATTTCGACATTGTGGATTTGACATTTCAGTCAAAACTCGAAATGTGACTTGGAGAAAGTACTAATTACAGGAATATTGGATAATTTGTGTAATTCTGAAGCCATCTTGAAGTCTGAACAATGTTTGTTCCACTTTAGCTATGGAAATGAACAGTGAATTGTGTTAGGATATCAACTTTTTTTTTTCTTTGCAGTTATAATTTGGAAAGTGGCATCTGGAACACTGTGCCCATCAGTAGCGGACCCCTGCCGAGATACGGACACTCCTGGGCACTAGATCGGGTAACATCACAGTTGAAATGTTGTAAAAAAATTTTTACCAAGAATATTTTTTATTTATCTTTAAGCTAAATAGCTGTAATCAGTGTCAGAATGAGTGAACAAGGCTATTTAGCTGATTACATGCTCTAGCTTTTGGTCTGTGTATGCAGATACAAAGATCTGCTTTGATTATCTGAGCAATAGTATCCTGCAACAACACTTATTCTACTGTCTTCGCTGCAATAATTAAAGTAAAAAACTCCACAGTTTATGTATGCAATCTTCTGCGTGCTTCAGGTGTACATGCTCAGAAAAAACGCATGTCAGAACAGCACACGAATTAAATGTAAAAAAAAATAAAAATCTTCCTGACCCCAGACTTTTGAACAGTAGGGCCAGATTTACTAACATGCGACATGGATCTGATAAACTTGGGTACGACATGCATGCAGACTGTACGATGATGTCACCTATTAACTCGTAGGCTACAATGCACGTTACTATAGAAGAGTAAAACATCATCAGCATGCACTAGTGATAAACAAAAAGAGCATGATGAATCACTTTGAAAGTTCAAGTTTTTATGTGTGCTGAAAAAAAGTGGAAGCGGCAAAAGAAGGGATAAGAGCTTGAGGGAAGCAGTTTTATGTTTTAGCGCCATGTCGCGTTGATTTCATGTCGCATTTTTATTGGCTGGTCAGTAAACGTGTGTCGTAGCAGCAAATACACTGTGCGATGATCATGCTGAATTTCTGACACTGTCGGAAAATGATCGTAGGCTATCTTTGGTCGCAAGACTGTGACAACGGCCGTCTTTGAACCTCTCTCACTGTACGACATAGGACCACTGTTTAGCAGCCACGATCACAGAAATCGCCACGGTTGTTTCACGATACCAATCTTTCGTCTGGGACAGTCGAAAATCGTGCAGTGTGTAAAAAGGCTTTAACCACTGATCTATAATAGAGAACATATATATATATATATATATATACAAATTGTATTTATTTATGCATTTATGCATTTTGTTGCAATCCAAATGGCTGAAACCAATAACTGATTAAGTAGAAAACTATGAGGGGGTCTGAATACTTTCCGTACCCACTGTATGTATATATATATCAGTGGTCTTAACCCATTTTGCCCCTGTGTTTTTAGAAGATTGCACGTACCTGATTATCTTTGTTTACTTTATTTAAATGATTTGTTTGCAACCATATGCTCATTTGCACTGCTTCTGGTAGATTGCGTTGCATAATTTTGGAAATTATCTAGCTGTGTCTGTGTTTTTTAATGTGTGCATTGTCAGTAGATCAACTGCAGAGCTTTCCACTCCCATCTGTGCTTTTATAGTATTGCGCTCTCACGCTAATTTGCCTTGTTTAGTAAATCTGGCCCTTAATCACATGCATTAGCACGTTGATTTTGGCAAACCTCAGTCTAGAATATTGACCAGTACTTTTTTGAAACATGCTATTAAATGAAACTTTTTTGAAACATCTTATTAAATTGTTTTTGTATTTTTTAGAATGACATCTACATGTTTGGAGGCAAGTTGGAGATGGGTGCCAGTAACGTAACAGATGAACTGTGGGTTTTTAACATACCCAAAATGACATGGTCGCAGAAGTCCCCCAGTGTGCCAGCCCACGGCCAGATCTACGCTGTGGAAGGCCACTCCGCCCATTTAGTAGAGCTGGATAACGGTGATGTGGTGATGGTTGTCATCTTCGGCTACTCCTCCATCTACAGCTACATCAGCAATGTTCAGGAGTACAACATCAGTGAGTGACTGAGTAGTGTATTTGATTGGGATTGAAAAGTGCTGCAAGTACCCAAAAAAGTTGTAGAATGTATTTTAGTATTATTTATGTAGTATCATAGTATTTAATCACATTTTGAAATAGCTTTCATTTAAATTTTTTATAATTTTGTTTTTGTTATTTGTATTAGTTTTAGATTCTTTTTTTATATTTCGCTTTCATTTATTTTTTATTTTGGTTTAGTAATTTTAGTACTTCAAATTAAACTTATTTCAGTTTCCAAGGCAACATTTACATTTTTTTATTTCCATTGAATATTTATATTTCATTTCTTGAACCAAGGTTGTACATTTTGTTGTTATTTAAAGACAATATGTGACCCTGGACTACAAACCAGTCATAAGGGTCAATTTTTTGAAATAGAGATTTATACAACATTTGAAAGCTGAAGCTTTCCATTGATGTATGATTTGTTAGGATAGAACAATATTTGGCTGAGATACAACTATTTGAAAATATGGAATCTGAGGGTGCAAAAAAAATCTAAATATTGAGAAAATCGCCTTTAAAGATGTCCAAATGAAGTCCTTAGCAATGCATATTACTAATCAAAAATTAAGTTTTGATATATTTACGGTGGGAAATTTACAAAATATGTTTATGGAACATGACCTTTACTTAATATCCTAATGATTTTTGGCATAAAAGAAAAATCTATCATTTTGACCCATACAATGTATTGTTGGCTATTGCTACAAATATACCTGTGCTACTTAAGACCGGTTTTGTGCTCCAGGGTCACATAGAGACAAATTTTGAGAGCAACTGTAAAACAAGTAGATCTGCAGGAGTCTGCATCTGCATGTTGAAACACATTTGATTTTTGGTCCAGTAGATGGAGCTGTGGTTCTTTGCAAAGAGCTGTGAGCAACTAATGTATCCAGAGGCTCTTCTTTATCTCAGAAGCTTTTGGATAATCTGTACCTTTTTTAATCCTGTTAAACTCCTGGATCAGGGCATAATCTTTATATTCTCAAATGATCTTACAAGTGTTGTGAACTCATACCACAAACCAGATCTCATTGGGATGAGGTAACTCAATGTTATTCCACTCATTATACTGAAATACGCTTAATCATGTCAAATTCTCACAGACTGGTTATGGAGAGGCAAAGCAGGTTTTATATTTAAAGAAAATATTAAACTTAAAGGTGCACTTTTTAATTTGAAAGTAAATCATTTTATTTGTGTGTACAGGAACAAACACATGGCTGGTGCCAGAGACCAGAGGAGCGATCGCTCAGGGTGGGTACGGCCACAGCAGCGTGTACGACAGCAGCAGCAAGAGTGTGTACGTCCACGGGGGCTACAAATCTCTTCCAGCAAACAAATACGGCCTGGTGGATGATCTTTACCGCTATGAGGTTCAGTCCCGCACATGGTAAGAGTGCACATACTTATTCAAAAAAACAAAATATGTTGTAAATTTGTCAGTTTTAGAGGAACACTTAGTTTCATTTTTGGTGCAACAGTTTGATGTTTTTTGTGTGTTGCAGGATGATTCTTAGGGAAAGTAGTTACCCACGTTACCTGCATTCGTCTGTGCTGCTGGGAGGAACGCTGCTCATCTTTGGAGGAAATACCCATAATGACACCTCTCTTAGCAATGGAGCCAAGTGCTTCTCTGCTGATTTCCTCGCCTATGACATTGGTTTGTGGTGGTACTTTACTGCACGTTTGACATACACTGCCATTAAAAAGTTTTGAGGTCGGTAAGATTTTTAAAAATGTTTTTGAAAGACATTTCTTATGCTCACCAAGGCTGCATTTATTTGAAAAATACAGTAAAAATAATATTGTGAAATATTATTACAATTACTTTTTTTTTCTATTAATATATATTCGAAGATGCAATTAATTCCTGTGATGGAAAAGCTGAATTTTCAACAGCCATTACTGCAGTCTTCAGTTATTAGTATTATCAATGTTGAAAACAATTGTGCTGCTTAATATTTTTCTGGATTTTTGTCAGGATTCCTTGATGAATAGAAAGTTCAAAAGAACAGCATTTATTTGAAATAGATTTTTTTGTAACAATGTAAAAATCTTTACTGTCACTTTTTTATCAGTTTAATGAATCCTTGCTGAAAAAAACTTACTGACCCCAAACTTTGGAAATGGTAGTGTGCAGTTGTCATCATTCCCACATGGAAAGCCTAAAGAAATTTCTGAAAAAAAGTCACAGAAATTAATACAATCCAAAAAGTTATGGAAATTCCCTTAGGGAAAATACGTTTGCAGTTGTTCTATGCTGTAAAATATTTATTTAGCTAGATGTCGCATAGTGATGTCTGATTCATGAGCAAGTCATTCTCAAATTAGTTTTTTTCAATGAAATGGTTGAAACAGTACACAAGAAAAAGTCATTGAAATAATTTGGTCAGAATTGTTTTATTTTCTGCTTGCCTTTTTTCTTATAGCATGTGATGAGTGGAAGGTCCTTTCCAAACCAAACTTGCACAGAGACGTGAATCGCTTTGGACATACAGCAGTAACCAGTAATGGGTGAGAAATCTAAATAAACACACTGACACGCTCTCACAAAATATTGTTGTATATTCAAATGTCTTCATCTTCTTCTCCTTCTAGGTCCATGTATGTGTTTGGGGGTTTCTCCAGCGTCCTTCTGAATGATGTACTAATCTACAGGCCACCCAGCTGTGAGGCCTTCCTGGGGCAGGAGCGCTGTGAGACCGCAGGCCCTGGTGTGCGCTGCGTTTGGAAAGGGGGCCGCTGCGTGTCCTGGGAGCCCAGCTTCACTAACAGAGCTACACCTGCTCCATTCTGCCCTGCCAAAGCTGGTAGGTATCTGGAAGAGGCTTAAAGACTCCCCTGCCACCCTCAGCTAAAACATTTACCACCGTGCCCAAGCCAAGAATTCAGTTGTTCTTGTGTGTACCGATCTGAGCCCTCAGGTTTGTCTGCGATATTGTGCACTGGCTGTGTTAATGAGAGAGTAATGGAGGGGGGCACAAGCTGTCTGAAGCAGACACAGTGGAGAGTTTCCCAGAGCCCTTCTTTGCTCTGCAGGACTGCCAGTCTGTTTGATCTTTTGCCACCTGTCAGAACACAACCGATCGCACAAAACCAGCCAAAATGTAGTCTTTGAGAGTGAGTGTGTGGACCTCCAGCCAATGGAATATTTGGCTTCATTTTGTTTGATTTGAAATTCAAACCTGAGGTCCCTCATGCCTGAAAGGTGCATGCTGGGATAATCCCTGGCAGCGATGACCTTGTTTATGGTGCGTGAGTGTTTCAGTGTATTCTGCAGTGCTGTTTGCCGCTGTTGAATCTCAAGTGCCACAGCAAAAAAAAAAAAAAAAT